CGCTGGGTCGCCGGCCCGCTGGGATCGGCTCCGCTTCCCCAGCCACCCGCCTTTGTGTGCAAGATGTTCTCAGTTATTAGATACTAATTTAAGCATCAGTTTACCCTCGTTTTGTACAACAATTAAAGGTTAAACAACTGTAAATCGGAGGAGGAGGTGAAATTAAAGCTTTCTTGGTAGCGGCGAGTCACTAGCAGGATTTTTATGTAATCAGTGTACGAGCTAGCACTTCTGTCATGAATTATTCATTGCTGGAGCAAACCTTCCAGAGTGAATTAATTTATATACATGGCAGTAAATAGATGCAGATCCCTTGTGAATCCACACGTCAGACTAGAATTAGGACCTTAAAAATGTTTATTCCATCAATTTCGGGGGGGGGGGGGGGAGGAGAATAAATAATTTAGAAAATGTAAGAGCAAACAAAATGCACATTCTCAATCCGCATTCTCTTGCAATAATGCAAATCACAATAGGGGTGTAATTACGCAGGCTGAAAGGTATTGACTTGGTCAATGTGATCAGTAATGGCTCTGCGGGGGTCACCGCCAATTTCTGCTAGATGAACTCCACTTATTTTTTTGCAAAAAAACTTTGCAGGAACTTTATATCCTGCTTTATTATTCAGAATAAATCATGGAGGAAACAGGTTAAAATGGCAGAAATAATGGGGTTTGATTTTTTTATTATTATTATTTCTTTTTAAATATGTATGCGTGTTTTATGTTTAGCAGGGCAAAGGCAAGTGGGATATTTGGAGTGGATGAGTAAATATAGAACCAGAACACTGCAGGAATAAAGGGAGGGGGTTTCACAGAATTCCCAGAGGGAGCGGAGGGTGTGTGCATGCACACGTGTGCATGCAGGCAAGATTTGCAGGGCATGGGAATCTCTTCACAGCGTTCAGTAGATGTGTCCTGCTGAGCTCCCTGCTTAGGGGAGTAATTCCGCTGCATGCGACGGGGCGGCTGCGGGTCGGAAGCATTAGGCTTAGTGGGAAATCTTCATCCAGAGAGACCTCGGAGAAATGAGGTGTGTGAAGGGGAATTAGGGCTACGAGGATGATGAGGGGACTGGAACATCTCCCCTCTGAGGAGAGGCTGAGGGAACTGGGCTTGTTCAGCCTGAAGAAGAGAAGGCTGCGAGGGGACCTTATAAATGCTTACAAATATCTGCACGGTGGGTGTCAGGAGGATGGGGCCAAGCTCTTTTCAGTGGTGCCCAGCGACAGGACAAGGGGCAATGGGCACAAACTGAGGCACAGGAAGTTCCGTCTGAACATGAGGAAGAACTTCTTCCCTCTGAGGGTGACGGAGCACTGG